CGCGTAACAAGAACGGTAGAAGAGATAGGAGGATTCCAAGATAAATCATGAAGGAAACATGTTCTTAATGTAAATAACATACACTTCAGAGAAGCATAATCACTCCAGAGCACATAGGTTGATGGCAAGATATAGAGCGAATAAATTTTGGTCGAAGTTCAGTGACAGTCGCATGTGAAGACCGAGGCTCATATTCCAATAATTTTTAGACTTTAGTAGTGAGAATACATTCTGTGATGTAAATGCTGCTTCCTTTGGAGAGTTTGGCACAATTTCGGTGTAATTTCTTTGACGTAACTTACCGGAATTACATCTATCGCTTCGGTCAGGTAGTGACATAAACATGAGGACATAACCTCACTTAAAATTTTGTCACATATCGTTCAATAAAATAAAGATATCACTTGAACATTTTAAGAGAAACTAAGGTAATAGCATATCGGGCTCCAGTAGAACACGTGAGACGTAATAATATGAGTAATAGTAGTTAGCATCTACAAAGAATTAAACTCTTATCCAAATTAGGTAAATCTATTCACAACTAGTCAAAGAGGTTGGTAACGACCGACCAGAAATCACTTGAGATTTTTAAGAGACCAATGAAGTAGTTATCGGGATAAAAGTGGGCGTAATAATATAAGTGTGTAATATTAGTTAAGATCTAAAATGAATTGAACTTTTAAATTAAATCTGTTCATTATTCACAAATAAATACAGCAGCTGGAGGTTGGTATAATCGACGACGTTTCGTTCCCGTCACTCGGACGGACCTGAACGGAACGGAATCAACCAATAGCATTGATTGAACCACTACCGGTTTTTTTCTAAATTCAAAAGATTACAGCTAAAATTGTGAAAGATATTAGCCGATGCTGAATTATCCGTGCGATGAAGCCCTATTAAATGTGGTAGAAATGAAATCCTCATATCCTCAACCTTGATCCTTTGTAGGTTTCACTGGAATCGGCCAACGTGTAAGCGAGAAATCTGCTGTGAAAGGTGGTCTTGACGGGGAGGTCGGCAGTCAGTTTAGTCGTTTTTACGTAATTTCTCTTCTAAAACATTTGGAATGTTAAAATAAAGTCAAAAGCGGCACACACGGTAACATGGCGATTCTTTAGGTACCCACTTTTATGGGTCTAAGGTTTACCGTTATCGCGGAGTTTGAGTGACTTTCTCAGGACCCTGGATTCTTGAAATTCAAATTTCCCGGCAAAGTAAAAAGTAAAATTTTCCTTGTTTTGGGTCATTAAGTGCTTATAACTTTTTGAAAACTCAATGGATCTTAATGAAACCCTTAAACGCCATCCGGCTAACTTAGCTGCGTCCCTAGACACCAAGATCGTTGGAATCCGTGCCGCCGTTTGCTCTGAATTCCATTCTAAATCGAATCAATTTTCAGATTAAGGGAGTTGCCTGTGACTAAGAGTGTCGGCCACCCGTTTGTTATCGGGACTTTAGTAGGACGTCATTTTCCTCGACCGGGGGTGGCTACCGCCACTCTTGATGAAACAACGACTTTGATCAGTTGAAATTTCTTAAAAATTAATAATGCAAAAACACGTTCTAAATTCAAGGAATGATGCCTATGCACTGGTTTAAACCTTTTGAAATGAGTTGCAATGATTTCCATAAATGTTCGCAGCACATTTATATTTAATACGGATGGCCAATTGCAGGCAAAATTTCGAGGCACGAATGTAAATGCGGCGCGGGTGATTTGAAATAGTGACCAAAAAACGGCAATTACTTAATTAGCGATTAATTAACTGCGTAATGAATCAGCTCCAAAGAGCCTCCCAAAAAAAGGGCCTTTTTTGGCCCCTTTTGTGAAACTCGGGGATTTCATTCAAATGTGGCCTAAACGAAACCTTATGATGACCCAAGACTCCAGTAAAAATTTTAGCTTGAGTATACGTCTGGTTTCGGAGATACAACGTTGCAAAGTTTGCATATTTAAGCTTTAAAAATCTTCATATTTTCAAATATTATCTTCCTAAAACTAACATGAGAGTGAATTTTACAATACTGAAACAAAGCGTAAACGAAGCATAATGATAAAGCAAGTCTCCAGTAAAAGTTTCAGCTTATGTATGACCCCTGTTTAGGTAGTGCAACGTTGCAAAGTTTACCTTTCTGAGCTTTAAAAATACTCATATTTTTGAGTTACTTATTTAAAAACCAATTTTAGTGAATGTCCAATTGTATTTTGTGTCACGAAATTAACCCCTAGTGGTACTCGTGGATGCATAGTGCATTGATGTAAGGCTACAATAATTTCAAGTAACACAGCGTTGCAAAGTTTACATCTTATACCTCTGAACATGTCTTTTCAATTGTTTTTTTATTTAAAAAAAACCTTTGATCAAACATGTCTCGGTATTTTAAAGCAAAATGTTAGGACTCTATAGTTAGAACTAGATGACAATTGGTATAAAAAATTACACTGTTATGCCTATTTTTTTGTTTTCCTTCAACATTTATACATAAAATAATTTTAAAATTAGGATACTTCCAAAAATAATAATCTGATTTCAAAATCAAATTCAAGAGACTTTGTCATGCTTAATGGAATACTCATCATCAGCGTTTCTTTCAAAATCCAACAAATTCTGCCTCGCCATAGTTGCCAATTCGACCTTTTATTAAGAAAAATTAAAAAATAAACATAGAATCCGGAATATTTCGAGTTTTTTTAAGTATAAATTAATCTTGATCTAGAGAATACATTTATTACGCCTAGAAAAAATAATGCGTTTATCCATTGCATCCGTTCTTGTTCCTTTAGTGTTCATTTAATCATTTATTTGTTTTTTCTTTTTTTTTCTTAATGTTAAAGTTTAAGATTAGCGACAGTGTCAAGAGTGTCAAGAGTGTCAAGACATTTTCCATAGATTTGCAGGCAGAACTTGTACCGATGTGTGATAAATTCATGCAAAAAAAAAAATAAATATAAAAAATGGGAAAAAAATGAAGAAAAAAATAAAAAAAAATTATAATTGTTATTTAAAAAATGTAAAAACATTAAACATGTAAAAAAAATAAAATAAGTAAAGTAAAAATTAAAAAAGTAAAGCAAAGTTATGAAAAACAAAAATCAAATATCAATTCTTAGAGAATTCCTTGTTTTAATTTCTCATTTATTTATCGTTTTAAAAGAAGTATTAATAAACTTGATCATATAGTATTTTTGCCAATACCAATTGTCACTCGGAACTGACCTCAACCCTCGATATGTTGCCTTGATATCAGGTATTACATTCATAGACGTCATCTTTAACTACCATAAATAATAATTTCAAGAGTTTAACGTTGTTAGCTTGGCAACGCTGTACCACCACCAATCAAAGTATCCCTGTTTATTTGAACATACATCTACAAATGACACGTGGGTAGATTTTACTCCTCAAATTCGAAAACAAGATCCACGAAAATCGCTCTTTAAACGCGGAACTTCAAAATATAAACATTTTTAAAGCTCAAATAAATAAACTTTGCAACGCTGTATCATTGAATTTGTGTTTACGCTCGCGGTAAGGCCTTTATGGAAGACGTATCTTATTATAAAATTACACCTAAACCCCATAAATATATATTTTGGTGATCAGTAAGTTCGTCTTTTTATAAAAAAACTAACCAACATGAGCATTTTTATAGGTCTTTGCGGTGTCAACTTTGCAACGTTGTATCAAGAGAATTAGCAGTATTATTGTATCAATAGATGTATGCATTCAATAATAAGACTAACTGTTGGTTAAATGTCACAAAATATCATAAAATGTCCGATGGAAGTGTTTTCGAAAATAAGATACTTGAAAATATGCGAATTTTTAAAGCTTAAATATGTAAACTTTGCAACGCTGTATCTCGGAAACTAGACGTATACTCAAGCTAAAATTTTTACTGGAGGCTTGTCTCACCATAGGGTTTCATTTCAGCCACATACGAATGAAATCCCCGAGTTTCAAAAAAGGGGCCACTTTTTGGGAGGCTCTTTCGCCTGTAGGCGAGGAATTAAGTTTGCCAGCCAGAGTGCAAAGGGTTTTGAGTTTCGTTAAGTTTTTGCGGAGATATATCAAAATAACGCCAAAGTTGAACGGGTTCGTGTAAGATACAGTAGCGGCTCCCATTTTCGTTGTTGGAGATCTCTATAGGCTTGACGGGGTCGCTACCGCTCCTAGTAATAATAATAATTCCTTATAATAATATAATATAATAATAATAATTCCTAATAATTCCTTCTACATCCAGAAATGGCAATAGCGATCACACTCCACAACATCTTGTGGTTGTGCCTGATGAGAGCGTTGCTGCTACTCCACAGTCGCAGCCCGCCTCGCAAGGCCCAAAAAACAAACAGAGAATCACTTGGACACAGGAAATGAACGAATATGTGATTCGCTGTTATTTTGAAGTTACCAAACTCGAGTCAACAAGAGAACCCCATGGAGCAGCGCTGCATCGGAAAGTATTGGATCGTTTTCCGGAGCTGCAACATCTAACAGTGCAGCATATGTTACGACAACGGCGATCAATAGTCAATAAGCAACGAGTAGCTCCAGACAGGCTAAATCAAATTAAAGAAGAAGTAGCAAAAGAGATGCAGAATATAGGAAGCGAAACCCAGGAAGTAACGCCCACAAGTAATCAGCCACGTGTAGTCGTTGTGATAGCCGCACCTACAACTCTTCCCGTTCCAGGACGAAGGCGAACCAAGTGGACCAAAGAAATGAACGAGCACATAGTGCGCTGCTACTTCGAAATCACTCGGAACGAAACTACTGACCTACCCTATAGTGGAGATTTGCATAGAATGGTGCTTGAAAGGTTCCCTGAACTGAGGAGCAAGTCGATTCAGAACATATTGGACCAAAGGAGATAAATTTTTGCCAACAAACACTCCTTGAGGCTGACATAAATCGAATCAAGAGGGAGGTCGCCAACAAGCTGCAGCTTCTAGAAACGGAGAGAATGGAGCAAGGAAATTTGAGGGATGCTACCCAAGTAGTGGCTAGTGCGGAGAGTTCGGCAGGATCTAGAGGAGTAGAGATACGTGCTACATTTGCGCAGAAAAGAGCAAGAGCTGAAAACCCAACCAGTTCGTCTCCCAAAGCCACAGTGGTGTTCGAAAAGTTCCTGTCACAGTTCAAGCATCTAGAGCCTGCGAGTAGACCCACACTGAAAAAAAAAAAAATGATATTTTCAACCCCAGGCGGCGTTGTTTGAACCATTGCAATTAGTAATTTTGGGTGACAAATCAATTGCGGGTTAATGTAAACAAGGTGAAAAAGCTTACTTTGACTAATTTGAAATAGTAAAGCCGATCATTCAGATACTTCCCTCAACACATGCAAGTGTTTCGACTTGTTCCACACCGACCGATGCCCGCGGTGAGAGCGACGGCGGACTGCCAGTTACCCTCCACTTGAGGGCGTAGGGGCGAACTACCACCTGGCGGAGACGAGCGAGGGACTCGTTACATCGAACCGCCGGGGCGCCTCGCGGGCCGGAGGGGGTTCTCCGGTATACCGCCCGCGGGGGACAGCCCCTGAACATGACCTCCGATGCGGGGGGCGGCCTGGGCCCGGACTCACCGGGGTCCCATCCAAGCCGCCAAGTTGCAAGACCGCCTGAAAACCCGAGCTGCGGGCAGAAGGCCGAACGGCGGACCCTCTGGTCGCAAGGCCTGGTCCACTGCAACGACCGTGCGTGGTGCCCCGCGTGCGACAGTCCAAGATTCGCTCTGGGCCGAAGGCTCGAACAGGGTTGAACACCGACGGGGGCCTCTGTCTCTGTCCTGTCATCTGGCCGTGAGGCAGGGGCCGGCCGGGAGCCGAGCTGGGACCACTGGCGGGACGGACCAACCGGCGACTCGCCTCACCCGGCCGACGGCGTCAACCGCCGGCCGGGCCTGGGCTCTGCCCGCAGGAGCCTCGAGCTCCGAGACGGGATCGCAAAGGTAGTCCGTATCTTAACCAGCTGCCGGACCCGCGCCTTATGACGCGCGTGCTTTTCTGACTAACGAGCGCTTGGCGGCGGGCGGCCTGGTGACGCAGGTCGCTGACTTTGCCGGAGCACACGACTCGGGAACTAGGATAAACCGCGAAGTATCGAAGCGGGCCGACCAGAACCGGCCCGCTAGACAGAGTCCCGAGTCCGACACAAGGAGCGAGCCTGCCGGCGGGCGGAGAACGCCTCTAACGGCGGACCGCTGTCAAAGCCGGGGCTCTTATTGTTAGCCCGGGGCCCTCACCGCGCACAACTTGTGTAAACCCCACTCTGATACGGCTCCGGGCTCGGACTCGTCGCCGAGGGGTTTCGAGGAAGCTCGCCGTCCGGTTGACGCCGTCACCCTTCGTAGCCGCCGGGCGGGTCCCTGGTTAGCCAGGTGTAGCCGCGGTGGGTGATTTAGAGCGCCGCACAAGACCTTAGGGTCCGGGGGTGGTCGTCTTAGGGATTTCCAGATACGGGTCCACGCGGCTTCGTCGGAAAGGATTACCCCCTTTTGGTAGGAAAGACTCCGGTCCGGTACACTAGACCAAAGCCCAAGCAATTCCAAGTGTTTCGACTTGACATTTAGAATTCTGGATTCTACTATTTCTCACGAGTAAAATCAATCCTTTGAAAATGTTAATTTAACGTATCAAAGGGTAGACATTTTGAGAAATGTTTGTAAAAAATTGCCTACTTTGATAAATTGTAAAGAAAAAACTATATCATACGCACATTTAGAACCGTTGCTATTCAGCAATGCATGTGACCTTCCTTCAAATTGACCTACCAATCGGGATTTGAACCTGGGACCTGCCTATCACGAATCGAATGCGCTACCTATTGAGCCAACGGGGCTTCTGATTGAGCGCTGAGAATTTGAGCTATATAAGTGATAAAATTATGTTCGATTATTTTTATTGTTAAATATGCGTGAGAGCGAAAGGCTAAATATTTTTTTGGACTTAGAAAAACTGCATACGAGTAAAAAATAATATGTATCATAAATATTTTAAAAATGGTATACTTTCTAAATTACCTTTATTATACATGAATATTTAATAAAAAATAAATTTTAATATTTTGTCGCCTGTTTCTTCCTTTTTCGGTTTTTTAAATTTCATGATAAGTAACGTGCATCAATTTTTTTAAAATGTTTAGAACACCTTAGATAAAGGTAGATATTCAAAAAATCATTAGACATGAAAAAACTCTGGTTTATTCGTTTAAAACACGTGTTTTGTATCGAGCTTTCTTGGTTTAAAGAGGTGGCGCTGTAAATTTAATTTTTTTTTTTCAAGGTCCGCTCGGAGCATCCTCAGTATCAGAGCCATAAAATAAGAATAATAATAAAGAACATAATTTAATTCATATTTTTTTTAAACATGGTGTTCAAAGTTCAGAACTTTATATTTTAATAAGAGCTTCATATTATAAATAATCGTTTCATAAAAAGTAAGTATGCAAATCGCATCCTAATTTTTTTAAAAGGTTTTTGCTTTTCTTTTGAAATATCTACCTTTTTTCTTGTATCAACATTTCCTGGCATGGGAACTAGGCATGAAGACTAGGATTTTATTTGTATGCATAAAATTAATCTCATGATTTGTGCAAAGGATTTAAAAGAGGATAAACATTTGTTGACTTTCAAAGAAAAACAAAGGATAGGAGTGATGGGATGACAAATAGCGCTCATACTGTTGTTTGCCTAACTCTTCATTTGGAGGCGTTTTTGAGAATTGGTTAGTTTTACTATTTGTAATTCGTTGGTTCGGCAAAAATATTTTTCGGTATAACTTAGCAAACGGTAGAACAAACTATTGCAATTATTGTCTTAATACTTTATTTTACTTTGTTTTAAACAATTTCTTCTGGTCACTAAAACTCTTTGAGATTTATTAAATCCACTCGTATCTTTGTTGGTGTAACCACACAAATTATTCCATCAACTGATTGGATGGTCATTTTAACCCTTTATTGCACAATGATGCCATATGGCAACATTTGGTTTTTTATTTTTCTAAAATCAGGATGTAGATGATTTTTTGATGTGTTTGGTGATACCGGTCGGCATCGGTACAGCGGCCATGCATAAATTTTCCCCCACTCCCAATCCAGGGCTGCAAACTGTAAAAGAAACGCTCATTTGTCAGGTTGGTCGGTCTGAGGGTCACCGGTGAGGTCACCACTTTCGCTGGTCGGTGGTTGGCTGCCCTGTGGTGCTGATGGGCTGGGAAAATCCATGCTGTTATGTTGCTTTCTGTAGTTTTTTGATAGCCAATCAGAATTATTACAGCATTATTACGCAGTTTTATAGAGATCAAAAAGTAAATGTTGCCAATCGGCATCACCGAGCAACTAGGGGACAACTTTTGAATGTTTACTCAAGGTATCATGCTCGCGAGTACATGCGTTAAACGCGCGTTTCAGTCAGTTTTATTAGATTTTGCTATGAAAATGCTGTGTTGAGTGCCTGAAACAATGGCTACATAAAGAGGAGGAGCGCCCGCGAATAGACGAAATCGTCAAGTGTCTTGGTGAAAATCCAGAGAAATCTGATTATTCAGACCTGGCCAGCAGCTTGGATAAAGACGAATAAATTCCAAATTTTTTCAAGGAATAAATTCCATTTCTCTGCATTATTTTTCACATTCTTTCATTTTGTATACACCTAGGGTATTTAAACTTTAATTAATTTTTTAAAAGTAAATATTTTGGTCGGACGTTGGACCTAGGTCTAATTTTTTGGTACCTACGCTTGGAAACGCAAGAGTTTTTCTTCCCCGGAGCGCCGTAGCATTCAATTTTACCTACGATTTCTCATACTTTTTCTTTCTTTTATCATTCTAACTTTAAGTTAATACTCCAATTTATTAGCTCAAAATTTTCCACTTCCAAGTCTTTCAATTTTTTTTGGAAAATTTTCAAAGTGTTCGGTGATGCCGTTTGGCAACATTTGGTTTTGTGCCCCAAAAAAGGTCAAAAGGTCAAAATTTTCAAAAACGGCAAAAGACGTGTCCATTTTTTTTCCATAACCTACAACATATATTTTTTTCATCAAAATCGGTGATCCAAAATTAATGCGTGCAACAAAGGGTTAAGCAACTTGTCATTTCTAGTTTTAACACATGTCTCTTCTGTTAAATTAGATAAAAAAAAAACAAAAATATGATTTTTGTACAAAATTTCGGCCCAATCCAAAAAATGTCACTAATTACCAAAAATAAAAATAAAAATCAGGCACCCAAAAAATATGATGGCAGTACCGTTTGGATTCATCATTTAAAAGGAAATTATATCAAAACGGCCCAATTTCCTCTTTCATGATATAGGTACTGAACACCCCAACGTTTTTCACCAAAAAAAAAACAAACAAAAACAAATTAAACACCTATAAGGTATGATGACCTGAACATGTTTTGATCCATCGCTTTAAAGGAGCATGATATCAAATCGGCCCATGACATCTCTGAAATATGCCCAGCCCATCTCTGATCAATACCTAATTTTTTCGAGACCTTCCGACTCATCGCTGAGGAGACACTGATCATTACTTGACCCTTAGTGTATGTCCTTGTTTAGATGTCAAAGAGGTCCATATGAGAACTGTAATGAATTTTTTTTCTTTAAAGCAATAAAAAACAAAAAATCGTCATAAAATTGAAAAAAAAATTCGAAGAAAAAAAAAAGGAATGGGCCGGCCGGCCGTACATACAAGTGGTAGATAATAGGGTGATTATCGTCTCTCTTGCATATATGCATGAACAAGTATCGTCGTCAAAAGGAGGATCAGTCCTTCTCGAAATCGTCATTGAAAGATAGACTGAAAGATATTCACACATGAGTGAACAACTTAACAACTTTCAAGCAATGCCATATTCTTTGTTTGCTCCTGATAGAAGGCCTTACAAATTACTGAACCTTAGCGTATTATTGCGAATATTATGTGCCTCCTACTTACAACGCTTCTTTCTCAACAACTTCATGGATGTTGGCAAGACCGGGTCGGTCACCCATGCCAAAATGTCGGGGCATACCAATGTATCTATTTTTCCCCCTTTTTTTGTACGTGCCGGCCGACCCATTCCTTTTTTTTTCTTCGAATTTTTTTTCAATTTTATGACGATTTTTTGTTTTTTATTTCTTTAAAGAAAAAAAATTCATTACAGTTCTCATATGGACCTCTT